GCAGGTGATGATGCTGACTGATGGGACACATACAATATCTGGACTTCAGTTTGCTTTGGCAAGGGCAGAGAAATATCTTTCCCACCAAATGAAGCATACTCTCAGTTTGAATATGTGTGAGTGACAATCTATTTCTAAGTGACCGAAAATCTCTCAAGACAACTCTTCTTGCTTAAATAGAAATAAGCCTCAAATATAGAGCTTCCTCCTTTTCAAGAGAGACAAAGTTGCTAGATAAATTGGGGGAGAGGAGGGTGTTGGATTTTGATAGTGAGATCAATTGAATAATTTTTTTCACATTATGTTTCATTCAATGGAAAGCCTATTGTTAATTGTAGATTTTATGATTGATGATAATGAGAAAGGAAGGAAGTTGAGTATGATAACAATTGGTGACCAAATGATAGCCTATAGTTTGAAGACAAAACAGCCTCGTTACATTCTTTTTCTTTTCTTTCTTTCTTTTTTTTTATTTTTATTTTTTTTAGTTCATTATTTCAAATTTTTTTTTCCTCTCTAGGCCATTTCTTCTTAAGTATGGCCTTGATAAATAGGTTACATTAGATCAACTATTTAACACTTAAGTATTGGCTTTATTGCAATGGAAGGACTGGGTTTATTTTAGTCATGGGAATGACACAGTTTTTTAAATCATATTTGTAGATAGCAGAATTTTGATTGCACTCTTTAATTTGTCATATTTGGATGGAAAGTCCTGTTATATGTATGCAGAACAAGTTGTTGGACCAACGAAGGTTGGCCTGAGTTGAAGGAGCTCTGGTTCGAGTCCTTGTCGATGAAGAAAACCTTCTTGGGAGAGGTCCCTGCCTTGGCGCCGAACCGTACCTCAAAGGATTAGTCCTAGGTGAAGCCTGGTGATACCTTGGGAAACCAAAACAAATAAGTCGTTGGAATCCTCATTGTCAATCGTGGTCTATTTTTGTTCTGCTTTGTATATTTATATTCATTTGTTTGTATGGACTTTTCTATGCTTGATATTTTGTTATTCAATCATATAGCCTGATTACCTTGTCTGGAGCCAAAACAACAGAAGCATCCAATATCATGAGCTGAGAGGCCAACCAAGAAAGGTACTCCATTGGAGTGAAAGAACCTTCTTTGTTTTCATCTGTCCTATACATTCTTCAATTTTCAAATTTTCATTTGCAACTTATTTTCATTTTTTGTTCTAATTTTTTTCCCCTATTAGTTCTAACAAAGACTGAGCAAAGGAATGAATTAAGGAGCTACAGAGCTAATTACTACGGTTGCCTAAATCCTTGATTTCTATTTCCAGGTATGCCCTTCAATCTAACAGTTACATACTTATTCCCAAATTTTCTTTCTTCATTCACCCAAATTTTCATTATAGGGCCTCATGTCATTTCCTTCTCTCTTCCTTATATATCTCGTGACATCTGTTCATATATATATATATATATTATTCATGGTTATTTTCAAGTGTATGGATTTTGTTCATTTTTGTTTTTTAATCATTCTATTGGGTATATTTTTTTGGAAGTTAAAATAAATTATTGGTAGACTATTTGGCATTGAAAAGATTGAGACTCCTAAAAAAGTTGTTCTAATTTAATCATAGTGACATGATAGATTATCTCACAATTTTTCGATTTGTTACAATTCAACCATTCCCACCTTTGTGTTGATCCTCTCCTTTTTGAGACTCCTTTTTGTGCTATTTCCCAATTTACAGAATGTATAAAATGAACACTAGAAGATGGTAAATATTGGCCCTGGGGTAGGAGATTTGCATATGGCATGTAGAGGATTATGGTTGAAAAATTCATATCTATTCATGAAGAACTATATTTTCCCCTGTATTCTTTTCTTATTTTTTAATGTTATTTTTGATATGTCAATAAAAGGAATAATATAATGTTGTCCAAAATTTTGTTGTTGTAATGAAAAATTTTGTTATTCTTATTTGTGTGTTGCTGCACAAATATTATTCTATATTGTAATTATTTTATAATTATCCCACTGAATTATAATTTTCACAATTATTAATTGCTCTAATTTTAAATTCCCACATGATGGAAAGCTCAAACCACAGTCAAAGCCCCGCAAAAAATAATTCAACTAGTTACCAAACAATAGAAAAAAGATGTTGATGTTTAATTATTAATTGGACAAATGTATATTGGAGTTAATAAATTATTTATTGAAAATGATATGATAGATAAATTTGATTATAAAGAGCCTACTTAGTAATTTTTTTGTTAAAAATCTAAGAAAAGTAATTTTTAAGTGATATTTTGTTGTACTTAGATTAATTTGGATTGATTTATGGCTTTATTTTTTGTTTGGTATTTTTGTTCCCCCTTGTTGTACATTGAGTCTTGCTAAGCCATGAAACAACAAAATCAAATTATTTTATTTTATTTTTGTCTTTTTGAGTTCTTATAATGATTTGCCAAGATCTTAATCTATGCAAGCAAATTTTTGTAATCATATTCAAACAATCTCTGTGTGGGTACTAATAAATAAATAATTGTGGGTAATTCCTATTACATTGACAAACTCACCCTCTCTCTCTCTCTCTCTCTCTCTCTCTATATATATATATATATATATTATAGCATAAATATGTATAAAGCCCCAACTTGAGAGTTGGCTTAGCACCCCTAAATGTTCAAAACAGGTCCTGTATGAATAACCCAATTTTTATTATTATTATTATTATTGATGACATGCAGTCAAGAAGATTAAAATTTGCAAAGCTAAAAGGATTGGATTGTGCATCACCCCAACCATAAACAATAGCACTTGAGCCTTAATAAAAGTTTTGCAAAACACATGCAATTATATATATATAGAAGGACAAGGGGTGGTCAGCTTTACATTATTAATCCATGCCAAAATAAAGTTTTAAAAGTACCAAATTTGTGTTCTCCTTCTAGGAACCTGCAGGGCCCCCATATAGTACCAGATGCCCAAAGTAAACCCCCTTGTTTTCTTCATCTTTCACATCATATAGTTTTCTACTGTTTGTAAACTCGTATGTATGAGGATTTATATCCCCTCCACTTGGACTCTTAAGTGCAATAGTCCTGAAGTATGCATCATATCGGGTGCTCCCAATTAGAAATTGACCTCCCCCCATTGCGGGTTTAGGGATGCCCGGTGGGCTAAATACCTCTCCTCCCCATTCAGCATGTGAAGCTAAGTTTGCTAATCCGCCGCCAAGTATGCTCTTTGGCCAAAATCCAACATTGGTATTCGCAACTCCAAGCCACCAGTTTCCATTAACTAGGTCCTATATATTTTTACATGGATATCAAAATTAAATAATTGAACAGAAGAACGCAAATTCTATTTCTTTACCACTAATTACTTAATTATGATTTTTGTTTCATAATTATTGGTGTAATAATTATTTGGCACAATAGTAGCATGACTTGGGAACTTGTGATCTGCCAATACAGTGGTCTAGGTGTGGACTTCATGTTTATTAAGAGTTTTCAAATTTTACCTGCAAGATGTGGATTTCCAACTCAATTGGTGTCTCTCCAGGTATAGAGACCTCTTCAATTACTGAACCAAGAGGTATATCTGTGTCCACAATCACAAATCCAGGACAATTTGTATTGAAACAATGAGATTGACCTGCCTGTTTGGTAGACAAACATATAAGAATATATTGTAAGAGCTACTAAGAAATATGGTCAATTAAGTAATATGCACTCAAAAGCAATGATACTTACATTCGTATATATGAATAGTCGACTACTTGAGTCACCAAACAGAGTTGGATCCACCTAAGACAAACCAAAAACATAATAAAAACAAATGCTTTTGTCTATGTGAAGCTAGTTTTTACTTCTGAAAATTGTTTGTAAAAGAAGTAAGAAGTTAAATTTACAAGCAAGAAGATCAACTTACCCTCCACCCGACTTGTAAGCTATCAGGCCCATTTTGAATCATCATTCGCCCTGCACTATATTGTTTACCCCTGACACCTGGTTGGTGTACACTAAGCACCGCTGACGCTCCACTGTATTTGTTTGGACCATCTATTGTCTCAACTATGGCATACTGGGTAATAAAAGTCCAAAACATATGTGTTACTTTTATATTTTCCCTTTAACCTTTTCCACTCTCAAAATCTGTACATATCCATATTGTTGGGAGAAAACCAAAGGCCAATTCGAAATACCCAAATCTAGCACAAAATAGTAAAAGTAATTTTTCTCCCTCTTTGTGTGAATCTATTAGGAAACAATTTGAATAGAGCACAATATATATATATACTGAAAATAAAAAAATCTTAAAATCACACAACAAGGCAAGAGCAATTTTCTGATCAAAAAAAAAAAGAAAAAAAAAGCAAGAGCAATTTTTACGTGGAAAACCTTCCCACTGTGAGAAAGAAAAAACTGCGGAACTGTAGTCCACCAAATATCTCCACTATCAAAGAATAATGGGTGTACAAGAGTTCTCTCTAGTTAGAACTAGTGGCAAACAATGAAGAACTACAAATAAGTTTTCCTGGCAACCAAAGAACTAGTTACAAAGTTTAGGAAAGATCTCCAAAAATAGGGTACTGTTCACAAGCTAGAAAACCAAATTCAGAGTGCTCCAAATCTGATCTCCACCGTTCAGATCTACCAAATTTCAGCTCAATCGAACCATGAATGCTTGCCGATCGAACTATTTGATCAAAGCTGGATAGAGTTTATCAAAAAACTGCTTGGCTCCCTTTTTCCTCTTTGTTTGGTGGTTGCACTCTACTCTCTCTCTCTAGGGTAGTAGAGAGGGTTTTTGTCTCATCACACACATGGACCAAAAACCAAACAAAAAACATTATCTGTTTGGTTTAATTTTAGGATTATAATTTCAGTATAGAGTTTTGAGTTTTTGAATCGTGATTTGAAAAGAGAAAATTTGTTTTAGTTATGAGTTTTGAAAATAGTTTCGAAATGATTTGTAATTTTTTTCTTTTAGATTGATTGATGTATAGAATGTGAGAGGAGAGATGAGAGAATGACCGGATCTGTCTGGGCCCGGCCGGGCTCCAATGTTTGGTGAGCAGGGTACTTTTGATAGAAATAAAGGACAGTGGATGAGGATGGAACAGAGCAGTTGCACAAAAGGTAGACAAAACAGTTTCTGCAAACGGCTTTCATTGACGCGCATTCGATCCATGTGCATTTTTTTATATACATTAATGTTGTATTATTATTGTTCATATTATATTGTTGTAATTAGTGTTGTAATTATTATTGTTATAATATTCTTGTTGTAATAATTAGATAATTTGTTATTTATTTATTATTCATTCGAATTTATAATAAGTTGTTAGTTTAGCTAATTCATTCATTTGGTGTTATAATAGCTAGCTTAAATTCGGACATTGATTCGGACCCTCTTTTACGAGGGCAAAATATGTAATAAATCTGTATGTCTTCCAACCTCCATTTGTTTCTTCCTTTTATTTACCTGCTTACAATGGTAGCATAGAGCATCATGTTTACTTAGCATTTTTCCATGACTTGCATCCACTCATTTTGCATACATACTGGTTCAGCTCATCATACTAACCAATGTCAATGTCAACTTCCTTAATCGAATACGTGCTTGATCGCATGCCTTGAATTGAATCACACACCATGTTAGTAGCTGAACTCATTATTTACATAATGTGTGTGTTGCATTAGTCATATTGCATTGTTTAGAAGCATGCATCTTCTAATTATTTTGTTTTATTTGGCTTGCCTTGGAGTACTAGGTGAGCATTTCTTGCTTCAGCATATTGCATTGTGTGTTTGTGTTGCCATATCTAGCATATTCCATGAGGCTAAGTGCTTAAGTGATATACTTGTTTGAATGCCCGTGGATGAAGGCTTTTCGTTTAAGTTGGAATAATTTGATTTAATGAAAATACGGGCTTGCTTTTTCAAGTGACATGTACTCAAAACATTTTTTCAAAACAAACATAAAATCAAAGCATTTCAAATTTTACGAATTGGTTTATACTTGTGTGCATCACCTAGTAAAAATTAGCCTAATAACCGGAACAAGAGCATATAATGTAAATAAGAATCACATCATGATTAGTAGAGGCCGATCTTTGATCGAGTAAGTGGGGTGATCAATTCATGACCTTTCTGTCTCATACCTAAGTTCCCAAGCCAAGACACTTTGGTGATGACGGGCTAATGGCCTTTTGGCACGAGTCACGAGTTTCCTAAATTTCCCAAAAATATTTAGGTGGCGACTTTGAAATCTGGCAAAGCGGTCCATTTTTGGCATTTTTTCAAACTTGATTTTCTAAAAGGTTTGTCGCATTTGGACTCTTTTGTGTTTATCCGTTTCACATTGCATTTGTGAAACCAGATTTACGAGAGTTCAAACTGTAGGGCTAATCATATCCGAAAGGAGCATGAAAAACAAGCTACAGTTTCTGGCGACTCTGTTGGGGAAATGAGAGAACTTGACTTGAACTTGATGATGTGACGTTTTATTTACACATATATGTTCTTTGCATTGTGTTTGCATTTGTTATTTTAAGTCATTGTGTTTTCCATTTGCTATTCCTGGACGGCTTGCCTAAAAAGCTTGCCAAAAGGCTAGCCGGTCATGGGCTCTTCCATGTTAGAAACACAACTCTTGGATCTAGATTACCATCATACCGCTTGATCCTCCTTTCACTTCTCGATGTTAGGTGTGAGAAGTATATTAGGTAATCTTGCCGAGGTATCACTTTTGACCATTTGGCTTAGCTGCATATAGTAAAGCCATAGTGACTGTTCCAACATAGGACAAGATGCTCACCCTTATGCAAGATTTTGTGAAACTGCTTGCTTGAATTAGTAAAACCCTAGATCATGCCAAAATTACGACAGGGAAACCCTAACCTGTCATAGGGGTGTTTTGAATGCTTTTGTGCAAAATGTGAAATCTTTGGAAATATGTATGATGTAATCCTAGGAGAGTCTTAATCTTGAGGTGATTCTTTTCAAAACTTGTGGGTCATATTAGAATCAGAATTTGGGTTAAAATCTAGGGGTTTGTGTTTGACATGGTGGAAAAATATTAGAACCAGAACCAGAACTAGGGCCAAAAATTATATCTTGCTTTGTTTTGACCAGCATACCTGGTACCCTGCTCTGATGGAGGATTTGTTTTTAATGCTAGGTTTGTTTGAGCCAAAGAAGGAGCAGTACCCAACTTAGTAAAGGGCAAGCCCAATCTGACCTAGAAAGCCTTAATCCATCATAATCCATCCAATCCTAGTAAAAAACCCACTCGGCAAAGGCCCAATCCATCCAATCCTAGAAAAAACCCTACTCAGCAAAGGTCCAGTCCATCTGATCCCCAAATGCCAACTCAAAAAAGATCCATCCAAATGCCAAAAGGCCTATTCTAAAAAGTCCAATCCAGTCAAACCCGTCTAGACTAATCTAATTCAGATACATCAAGTATAACCGGGTCGAAATCCTTGTTAGTCAGCTCTGAAATGACACCCATCCATTTCCCCAACTCAGCAGACCCGTGATGACATAGAATCCAGAAGAAGTTGTGTGATAACGGCCCTAAACCAAGGAATTGTCGTGCAGGATGAGAACATTGCTGAAATGCAATGCCCATCTGGGGCATATACCACACATCCAGTCCTAGGCCCCTAGTCAAACTTTGACCCACCTCCGCCAACTGAAGATTTGCAAGGTCCAGCTCCTCAAGAAGGGTTGGCTCAAGTTGGAGTTTCTAGACCCCTAGTGTAGCCTAATGAGGGGCCTTTTTCCCTTAATATTAATAATCTCAACTCGACCTTGTTAAAAACTACTAACCTCAGAAGTAATTCAAAAAAGAACAGGGTATTAACTCCATTCCCGACATTGAGGATGGGCACACCGAGGTTGCCGTAAAGCTCCCAGACAGATTCAAAATGCCATACATTGACCGTTTCGACAAGTCCGGAGATCTTGTGGTACATGTCTGGCTTTACTTGGACGTTCTGAAACTGATGGGTCTGACTAAGCCTCAAAAACTCTTTTTGTATGGAAGAACCCTGTCGGGTATAGTAGCCATTTGGTATGCCAAGTTGGAGGATAAAATGAAGTAGAATTGGGAAGATTTGGCTGAGGCGTTTGTCAATTAGTATTCTTACAATACCCAAATTGAAATGACCGCCCAGGAGCTTGAAGTATCTCACCAGAATCCTAAAGAACCTTTTGTGGAATTTTTTGCAAGGTGGAGAGCAAAGGCAGCACAAATGACAGATCGACCTCGACCAAGTGCGGATAGTGGTGTAGATTCTTAAGCTTGATATGTTACAAAAGTTAATAGTTGCTCCACTATTCACTTTCAAAAATTTGCATGAATTAGGGATTCAGATTGAGAGCGCATTTAACAAGGGGATTATTCCCAGAATAAACAAACTAACAAGGAGGGTGTTTCTAGGAGTACCAATGCTAGTAGTAGTACTATTCCTAAACCCACTGAAGTCAATACCGTCGCCACCAATCCCAAAACTGCCGACCCCTTTGCCAATACCAACTCACAAATAGTTAGCCCAACCCGAGCTCAAGGTGGAACTTTCACCCCCCTCTATATGAGCTTAACCAGTGCACTAAGAGTCCTGATAGAAAGAGGGTATCTCAAACCCCTTGATGCCCAACCTCTTCCTAACCCACTCCCTACTAGACATAACCCCACCAAATACTGTGCGTACCATCAGTAGCGCGGTCATGGCACTGATCGTTGCTATTGCCTTCGTTATGTGGTTCAGAATCTCATCGACAACTGGACGATTGTTCCACCTCAAGAACCCAGTGTAACCACTAACCCACTTCCCATCCATACACTACCTCATTCCTTCGACTCCAGTATATATATCACTCCATCCCATCTGCCCAAGCCAGAGGTGTTCATTGATGAAAATACTAATTTATGCAAGATAGATACACCTACTCTGGTTCGGACACATCAAGAACGCCAAATGGCCAAACCCACTGTTGTTAAGATGTTGAGAATGATTGAAGACCTTCAAGGAGTGGTGGTAGATTTAACCTTTAGGGTTTTAACCTCGTCAAATGATTATTTAATCTTGGGACAAGCTAAAAGTAGAATGGGCCAATCAAAAGCAAATAGGCCTTGCCCATATATAGTCGTCCGACTCTGTGAGAA